TTGCATTTTGAAAATTTTGACTTCTGAGGACCTAACTAATGAATTATTAATATGAGACATACGACTTTAGAATGAAAAAGGTAGGGATCTTTTCCCATAATTAGAAAAGCAAGTTGCGAAATGATAGCGAGGCTAATTAATATGGGTAGGCATTTTAAGCAAAAGGTGATTGGTGAAGGCTGGACCCATTTTCGTTTGATATGCTTCGACTCTATTATCATTACATCACCATCAAATCTTGAGAAGAAAGGGAAAGCCAGCTAGGAGAATCCGATGCTTCACGTATTTCAAGTAGATGAAGTTTCTAAAAAGAGATTTTTAAATAGATGATGGTGTTGTTTTCTAACCATACAATATTCCAGTCTAGAACATAGCATTAAAAAATATCATAGCACATTTTTTATTCCATCCACATACAAGCTTTCATTTGTATGGGAGTTTAATTTAATTTCTAACATGCCCCATGTTGATAAAAATGGTGTATTTTGGTCGAACATATAATGTGAATCCCGCCATACGCAACCTTTTTTTTAGATCTCAGAAAATAAAATGAAGAGTTTAGCTTACCCTGAGTTGGCATCAATGACTCCGTGCATATAAATGTAAATCAGTAAATGTAAGGTTTTATATTTTTTGACAGATTACCACACACCTACTTGTTTGACCAAAAAGTGTTAAGCCTTTTGTTAAACTAATTAATGAAGAAAATAGAGAATAAATCTTAGTCAAGGATAAATAGTTCCAGATCTAAGCACATCAGGTAAGAGAATCAAATATAATCAAACTTATAAATTTTCCGGTATCATATAAGATATCAAATATAGATGATAGGCTTACATTCTTGACATATCATCCCGTAATTTGGTGATAATAATGGAAAAGATGGAATGCTATTGGCAGTGACGAGATCTAGTTTCCTTGATTCAATAATCACGATTACAGAGATTTGTATCTGCTATCTAAGAGTTTTCTTGGTCTTCTCTTCTTCTCCTTTCTCTCGGAGAGGAAGACCCCTTTTCTTGTCTTCTTACCTCCTATATATATTATCAGTATTCCCTTTTGTCCATCGATCCTTAACCAGAATGCCTTCATCCCTTGATTGTCCTTCACGCCGGCTCCCTCAGATACCACGATATTTACACAAAGTGGTAAAAACTTCATGCCCGTGATGGCAACCCCATTTCTTCAAATCTATATGCTACAGATTCAATAAGGGCATCCCTCATTATCAATGAGGGAATTTGCTATCCATTAAAATTACACGAGAAATAGTATCCATAAGTGCAAGGGGATTGAAAGGAGAATATGAATTTTTATGTTCTTTTCTGTTTGCAATCCATCATTACTAGCCTCCTAATTGACTTGAATGATTCTGAAGTGGTGTAAAGAAGGAAAACAATAAATGCATATGCAGTGAGGTCAAAGTAACATAAGTTATTGGTTGTTCTATACAATAATTTACTTTAATGAGTGTACAAAAACATGTGTGGACCGTCACAAACTGTGGCATTCTTTACTTTAATGAGTGTAATAATAAAGTAGGTATATGTTTGACAAAAACGCCAAACAACTTTTGAACCTGTGATAGGGACGACTGACGAGTGATGTTTCTACGCTTATCGCAAATATCTTATGTTTCACCGATAAGGGTTGTGGTGGAGTGTGTTAAAATGCAAAGAGAAGAACAGATGTTGAGCTCGAATGAGCTCCAATGGCGGAAAACAGTTAACAGAAAAAGGAGAGAGATATTTTGAGAAGCTTTCAGAGACTTTTTTATTAGAGAAAATGAAAGCTTAAAGCTTTACAAAGTGTCTGGTGATATTTATACACATAGAGCTTTGCTTGACAACTGGCAACTAACTAATTAACCTAACTAAGAAAAAGATAGTAAATAAATACAATGTAAGAAATGGCTAGTTAACTAATTAACTAATAATCTCAACACCCCCCCTCAAGTTGGAGGGGAGGACTCCACTGCCAACTTGCTAAGTAAATGGGAATGCTTGATCCCAGTTAAGGACTTTGTGAATATATCAGCCAGTTGCTCATTTGTAGGAACATGATGTAGAGATACCAGTCCCTCCTGCAGCTTTGTTCTAACAAAATGGCAATCAACTTCTATGTGCTTCGTGCGCTCATGAAACACTGGATTCTTGGCAATTTGCAATGCTGCTTGGCTATCACAGAATACAGGGACAGGAAGGTTCATAGGTACAGTCAGCTCCTCCAGTAGTGTTACCAGCCAAACTAGCTCCCCACAACCTGTCTAGCTGCTCTATACTCTGCTTCAGCTGAAGACAAAGAAATAGTGGACTGTTTCTTTGATTTCCAACTGATGGGACTATTCCCAAGCAACACAATGTAACCACTGACTGATTTTCTGGTCTCAGGGCATGCTGCCCAATCTGAGTCACAATAAGCTTCTTTCACCCCATAATCTCTGTTGTTAGAGAAGAAAATTCCCAGGCTTGGATCACTCTTCAGATATCTTAAGACATGATAAGCAGCCTTCAAATGACTTTCCCTTGGTGATTGCATGTACTGACTGAGGTGTTGGACACTGAAGGATATATCCAGTCTTGTATTAGTCAAGAAATTCAACTTACCAACCAGTTTTCNAGTTATGTTTTTGTAACTTTGAATTTGACCAAAGATGGGTCTTGTATGACCATTTCATTTAACGTCTATTTTAATAACATCTCATTAACTTTGATAATAAAGTTTCTTTGGCTTTAAATGATTGTAACGTTTGATAGCATAGAATCCTTAATGGATTTCAACTTTTTTTTATTACATCAGATGTCCATCTCCTTTTGAAAAATATATATAAAGCTATCTACTTGTGTTCATGGTAGGATAGAGTGAAAAAGCAATCTGCTAATTTTCTTCTTTGTGCTGGATTTTATTTTATTCAATCTTTGTTGTTTCTGCTCCTAGTTTATACTAGAAGAGCTTGTTGAATCCTGGGGGATACGCCTAATGTTATTCATCTCGGTGTGGGCGAAATATCCTTAAGGACAGTGTCTTTGACACGCCTCAAGCTAAACTTTTTATTCTCCATAATCATCCAATTTTTTCAATAATTTGGGTTACCATCATAGTTGATATTTAGAATAAAGCGATTTCTTAAATAAATATACAAATATCTAGCTTGATCTTAAGAAGAGGAAAAGAAACTGTTTATTAAAATACTCATTCTTTTTGAGTTATTAAAAATATTGTATTTTTTTAACAATCCCCATGGTCCCCCACATTTTCGAAAATTTCAAGTAAAGGAGATAATATTTTCACAACCCATAAAGAGTTCTACTTTATAAATAACAAGCTAATAATATAGCGTCACCTCGAAGATTATCATATGAACCAACAAGCATGCAATTTATTAATTAATTGAAAAGTCCCAATATCTTAAGTAATAAAAGCAATAAATATTTAAATCTGGTACATCATCACAAGAAAAATCAAACAATTTAATCTTATGTGCTTTTCCAATTTTCATTCACTTAAATCTCCAATTACAGGAATAGAACTAACCTGTCCAAAAGATAGAGATTTATCTAGAAGTTTTTTTTCCAAAGCACATATGTCTTGATAAAGGTTTGGATAAATCATATTCATGTGATTTCAAAGAAAATGAAAATACTTTAATTGAAAAATTTGTCAAACTTGGCATAGCAAATTTCGTCAATTTTGCTATTGAAGAGATTCATTCAGTAACCCACTTTTTTTTATTAGATGGTTACCACTTTTAAGTGTAATTCTTAATTAACAATAAGAATCAATCTAACAAGAATAAAATAATTCACCACAGATCGAAAAGTCCTACTATCAAATTCACATAGTTTGTGCTAAAGTTGAACACTATTAATTCTCGAAGAAATTACAATGAGATATGGTATTCCAATAGAAAGCATGAAAGAATATTTTTTAAGAGCTTTTAGATAAAGCGA